ATGGCCCCAGATCCCTGTAGGTACTTGGATCACTTCACAGGCCTCAACTTGCACGAACAGCATGAGGCCGTGAAGATGGAAGGATTTTTTTGGATTAGATTTAGTGTGCAATACACAATTTGTTCACCCTCCAGTTTTTGGGTTTATACATTTTACATAATTTGATAATTTGTACCGCCGATTTCTGGTGATACCGGTGATACTGGTGATACCGGTCGGATCGTTTCGAGGTCATTGGACGGGTGGTCCAAGAAGCAGATCAAAGTCCTTCCAGCTCTGCCCGGAGCGGCAGTCGGGTTCACTATGGGCACCAGGCCGATGAAGAACAAAGTGGCCCGCTAAAAAGGGGGGGAAAAACGCATGACCCAACATCCATTTTTCTTGGGTAAGATATGGTAAGATGTTTTTTGAAATGTAAAACATGACAGACATGGTCAATGAATGATATGAATGTCAATGATGAATTTTCACGAACTTTGTTGAATTCCTTACATGATTTGAAATCTACCTTGGACGTTAGAACTACATTTTTTCTGGGCAGAATCATCATGGAAAATCCAATTTCGATAGGAACAACCCGGTGTTCGTCCTGTTCCATGTGGCAAGACTCGCTGCAGAATCCAAAGATAGTTTGCAGAATTCGACATGAGCAGCACAACAGTTCTACACAGTTGCGGTTCTATGTCGCTCACAAATTCGAATACTTCATACTCATTGGAATGACATGAATTCAGCAGAGACAATGAACATCTCGTCCCCTAACATCTGAACCCCTGGCCTCGACACCAGGTTTTGCAGTTACATGGCACGACCAGAAAGCACTCCTTCAACTCCACAGAAGGGGACTTCCACGGGCCTACCTGGCCCACCCTAGGGGAAGCCTGCGGGAACCCGTCGCTGAGGCCGGGGTGTGCAGCCGCAAGGTGGCACGTGTTGGGCGCCTCAGCGGTCCCGATTGCGCGACCATGGACCGGTATGGACCAGTATGGACCAGTATGCAAGTTGCGATCACTTCTGTATGTGGCAGATGTGGCTGATTTCCAATACTGAGATGGTATGGGAAAGAAACTTTTGTCATATCTATCAGTACTAATGTTGTGCTGTCGAATTGCTCTTGTTCTAGAATATTTTCAACTTGAAAAAAATGCAGAAACAATGCAAAAAAATGGGATTGAAAAATGCAACTCAGAGAAAGGCAAAAATGACAAAGGCAAAAAAAATGCAAATGAAAAATGCAAGTTTGAGAAAGGCAAAAATGACAATTGCAAAAAAAATGCGAATGAAAAATGCAAGTTTGAGAAAGGCAAGAATGACAATTGCAAAAAAAAGGGAATTGAAGAATGCAAGTTTCAGAAAGGCGAAAATAACAGTTGCAAAACAAATGCATTGAACAACGTAAGTCTGAAAGAGGACACGGTAGCAAATGAAGACAACCTGGAAAGAGGCACAGGTGACAAATGGAGAACAATTGGAAAGAACAAGATTTTTTTGCATTACATGTTGCATTTTTTCAAGATTGCAGTTTTCTAGAATAAGCCCACAAGGCGCCAACACAATACTAATGATGTATTCTGGCTATGGTGTGCATCAAGGTGGGTTTTAAAGTTCTTCTTGACGTTGCCCTTTTGACAGGCGCGCCCCAGCCTACTTAGTCTTGGTGCCAGGTCGGCTTGTTATCCTGGAACGTGGGCGGCATCAGTGACCATCGAAAAGACCAGGGTGCTGGATTGGAAGAGGTGTCCAGTGGCGCCTGTGCCGTTTGCGTTGGGAAAGCGTCTTCATTTCCATCCCTTAAAACATGGGATGTCCCTTTCCCATTATTGGGTGGTTTTAATAGTGGGGTCAACCTCACAACCTCCCTTCACGTTAAATGATGATATTCGTGGTATACTAGACCTGCCAGACTGGCCGGAACTATTGTTGTGAGCAGTGTCAAAAACTAATGCAAAATCCAAATACAACGGTTGGTTTTCATAGGGATTCAGTTCAAGGATCATGATCAGGGTGGTACAACCCCCAAAAAAAACACCACAGAAACCACTGATTAATCAAAGAAAGTTGGGAAGCAATCTTCCGAGGTACGGATGACTTTTACTCAATGAAGGGTGGTGTGAAACTTTACATGCATGAAGGGTGGTGTGAGACTTTACATCACATAACAATACATTCATGAAGGGCGGTGTGAGACTTTACATCACATAACAATACATTCATAAAGGACCGTGTGAGACTTTATATCACACAACAATACATTCATGAAGGGCGGTGTGAGACTTTACATCACGTAACAATACATTCATGAAGGGCGCTGTGAGACTTTGCACCACATAACGATACATTCATGAAGGGCGGTGTGAAACTTTGCATCACATAACAGTACATTCATTTGGGGCGGTGCGAGATTCTTGTCATGTTTTGTTGCCATGTGCGTAGAGAGATGCGTGTTTGCCACGTAATGCTGCAAAACGCATTGTACTGGTTGCATGAATGTTGCATGGGGCTTGTGTTAGGGGAGAAAGCTGGAGCACGAAACCTTGTGTTTTTCCGTGTAAAGTGGCTTCGGCCGGCGATGAAGGGCACCTTGTGTGTGCGGCGGGCGCGGCTGCGCTCGTTTCATCGTCGAATCGGTTCTCCCTTGGTGTTCTGCAACGTGTGGTTGTTCATGTGTGCGTATTTCTATGCGGTTCTTGAATCTGTGGTTGCAGATCGCATTGGAATGGCTGCATGATTGTTGTCATTTGGTGTTGCCACTGGTAGTAGTGGCTGCCTCAAGGTTGCTTGGCGCCGCGGCATGCGTAATACAATTGTCTTTTGCAGCTGGACATTGTAAATCGTATTGGGGTGGCTGCATCAAGGCTGCATCAAGGCTGCGATAGTGATTTGTCAGCAGATTTTCTCAATTGTGGCGCTGATGGTTTTACTTTGAAAATTATTTTCAAAAAGTGCTTCAAAATGTTTCAAAATCGTGTTTTCTTTTTTCTTTGGCGCCGAGATATCCGGTTTTGGATGTGCAATTTCTGACACGACTGCGCGTAGTTCTATTGTGTTTTGCCGTTCAATATCTCGATATCGCAGTGTAATTGCTGCGTCAAGGTTGCTTGGTGCCACGGCTGCATGCGTAATACTTTTGTCTTTTGCAGCTGGACATTCTAAATCGTATTGGGGTGGCTGCATCAAGGCTGCGATAGTAGTTTGTCAGCAGATTTTCTCATGTTTGCAAGGGATGAAGGGCACCTTGTGTGTGCGGCGGGTGCGGCTGCGCTCGTTTCATTGTCGAATCGGTTCTCCCTTGGTGTTCTGCAACGTGTGGTTGTTCATGTGAGCGTAGTTCTATGCGGTTCTTGAATCTGTGGTTGCAGATCGCATTGGAACTGCTGCATGATTGTTGTCATCTGGTGTTGCCATTAGTAGTAATGGCTGTGTCAAGGTTGCTTGGTGCCGCGGCATGCGGAATACCATTGTCTGTTGCAGCTGGACATAGTAAATCGTATTGGAGTGGCTGCATCAAGGCTGCGATAGTAGTTTGTCAGCAGATTCTTCTCAAGTTTGGCGTTTGTGATTTTCCTTTATATTTGTTTAAAATGCTTCTAAATCGTTTTTCCCGCTTTGGCGCCGGGATTCGGTTTTGGAGCTGCAATTTCTGACACGACTGCGCGTAGTTCTAAGCACCTCTGTGCAAAAGCTTGCTTGTGTGCAAACTTTGTAGTACAAAGTAGTACTGGGAATAACTTTGTGCAAGCTTTGTAGTACAAAGTAGTACTGGGAAGTGCTTTGTGCAAGCTTTGTAGTACAACAAAGTAGTACTGGCAATTACTTTGTGCAAACTTTGCACTACAAAGTATTGCTGGGAAGTGTTTTGTACAAGCTTTGTAGTACAAAGTAGTACTGGGAAGTGCTTTGTGCAAGCTTTGTAGTACAAAGTAGTACTGGGAAGTGCTTTGTGCAAGCTTTGTAGTACAAAGTAGTACTGGGAAGGGCTTTGTGCAAACTTTGTAGTACAAAGTAGTAGTGGGAAGTGCTTTGTGCAAGCTTGGTCCGTAGTACAAACTCCACACTTCACACTTCACACTCCAATTTCACACTTCATTTCACACTTCACACTTCACTCTTCACACTGCACTCTTCACGCCCCACACTTCACACTTCACACTGCGCTCTTCACACTCCACACTTCACCCTCCACACTTCATCTCATCTGAGCTCTTCTCATCTTTATCCCAGCTCATCTCTTCTCATCTCATGTCTTCTCATATGTCATCTAAGCTTTCATAAATCACTTCCCAGTACTACTTCGTACTACAAGACTTGCACAAAGTACTGTCCTACTACGTTGTACTACAAACTTGGCACAAAAGACTTCCAAGTACTACGTTGTGCTACAGAGCTTGCGCAAAGTACTTCCCAGTACTACTTTGTTGTACTACAAAGCTTGCACAAAACACTTCTCAGTACTAGTGTGAGGGGCGCAGTGAGAAGTGTGAAACGTGAAGAGGAGCTTCTGTCAAATGTGACATTTGAAACAGGACACCACTTTCGCAGAACGCACGCACGCACGGGCCTGGCTGGAGCACGGCGCATGCAGGTTCTATAGATGAGAAAGGTCTTATAGTACTTTATCCGTAAGGCAACTGCCGCCCCACCCTGTGCGGGTACTAGTGGTATATCATCAACCTAATCCCCATGCGGTTTTGTCTGAAAGTAGGGCACCCCCTAAATCTGCTGGTCAATCGTACTTTCCCTATCCAGATGGCCAGCCATTTGGGGCTATCCTCCATTTCCAAACAAAACCACCGAAAAATGACGGCTTTTGAGCCCCCACAAGGTGAGGCTTGCAGTTACAAGTCGGTTTATAACCCCCATTAACATCCATCAAAAAATAATCATTTTTAATCCATTAACATCAATTTTCTAGTTACATTCCCCATAAGCAGCAAATTGCTCAACTGAAAGGGGCCTCAGCTGCCAGGCAGCTCAGGCCGCAGTGGCAGATGTGCTCCATGCCGCCGTACGGGATCCTGAAAAATCGGTTTTTTTTAACCATTAAAAAATGGGTTAACATGGTTTTAAGCATTCTGAAATGAGAATATAATATCATATAATTAATTATATATCAAAAATAATATATATATACATAGCCATCTACGTTTATCATAGTGTAGAACAAGGGACACAAAAATATCATTGCTGCGCAGCACGATTTGTGGATGATGAACCAAGTAGGTCCCATTTTCAGACCATAGGATGGAATGATATTCCAAATTTTAAGGCAACCTGGTATGGGTCTCCCCTCTTTCTCGCAGCCAAAACAGCTGCTTGTTATGAATGTTCATTCCTTGATTATATAAACTTGAAGCAAGTGGGAACATGTGCCATGGAACTGTTTGTTGTCTTCAAGGTTTCTGGTCATGGACACTCCAAATCATTTGGCACCCCCGAATTGGATTGTAGGCCCAAGGGCAGTGAGAGTCATGGCATCATGGGTTCCATGGGTTCCTCGTAGCCAGGTGGCCAAGATTGGAGCCGCAGACATCATTGTGGTTGGTCTTCAGGCGACCATCTTGTGGCATGGAATTATGATTCTGTTGGAAATTATCTGGAAAAAAGGGGAAAATCACAATGGAAAGGTGGTATACTTCCCAGTGTCCAAGCATTCTGGTAGACAACTCTGGTTGGTCAATGTGAAGAGCTACTTTGGGACTTTTGAGAATGGTGCACGCATAGCTTTAGTGGTTTCGACAAGTATGCAGATGCAGTATCCATAGCCCTTGCACAGCTTTGGCCCGAATGGTACAGTGACAAGCGTTTGCCTTACAGCTAAAGTGCAGACATTCTAAACCTATCGCAAGCAGAGATTGCCTGAGGAGTAAGAAGTCAGGAGGATACTCCAAGCTGTATGCAACCACATTAAACCACATTCATGGTTTTTTCAATTCTCATAAAACCTGCGTCCAAATGCTTGGACCCGGACCCATACGCAGATACTCACAGATGCACACATATCGATTTAATTCGATGGTAGCGACTCGCCGCCGATGGAATGTTGGCTACTTTGCCCTTTGGTTGTGTCCTGGCAGAAGGGAGGGCGGAATGAAAAGTAGGGACCCTGAGAAGCTGGATTTTATCATTAAAAGTATTGAGAAAAAGGGAATTCGCGAAGAAATGTGGAAGGGGAAAATCCTGGGACCTGGAATTTCACAAGGAAACTAATCACATTTATATCCGCTGGTATAGTCAGTCTTGCCCCATTTCCTATGTTGAGGACCTGCGACACCTTCGGCTTTCAACATCCCAGGTGCAGCGCATGGGTTTGGCAGTGGACCTTCATCTATCGTCCCGAGATCCCTCCAACGAATCCGGCACTGAGCTGAGTGAAGCCACGGTGGTGTCTGGTGACGCTGGTGACGGGTCGGTTCAACGTCGAGGATTTTGATGGCCACCTTTCAGGTTGGCATTCCCAATCTGGTTTGGATCTGGCGCGGTTGTCAGGCCGGTTCAAAGCACATGGAACTTTAGAAGGTTAAAAATTTGATTGAAACCACGGACTGTCAGATTCCGTTTCTTTGTTGAGTTTGTTCTGCCGTGCTCTTCTTGACACCAGGAAGTTTTCTGCCAGGTTCGCTATCAGGTCTTGGGAGAGAAGAATGATGGTCCATGCGTCCTTATGCTGCATGGCCTGCTGGTGAACGTTTCTTGGTTGGAAAGTTCCACTGAAGATCAAGGTCTGCGACCTCAATGGCTTTGGAAGATGACTTTCAGATTGGACGATTTCTTTTGGTTCAATTGTTTTTGGTGCTTGTTGGCAGGGTCTTGAATCGTTTTTCAGATTGGAAGCAAGCATCCAGAACATGAAAGATCATCCAAGATGGAAATGCAAATGTGCCATGGTCAAAATCACTACTTTAAGGATATTATATATATATATATACATATACCCACTAATATCCCATTGTGGGATGGATGACCATACAGCAGATAAGCCCATGGCAAGTGGATCGTTGGAACATGTTGGAGCTGGCTCAGGCAGACCATTGGCGACAGAATCTTCCGCCTTTGGCAGAGGCGCAACTGTGGAACCAAGGGAAAGCTTGGGGCCCATGGGGGTAAGGGGAACCAATATATATATATATAATGTATAATATATAATATAATATATTTAATTTAATATGTATATATATGTTATATATATATACACTATATATATAATAATAAATATATATATTATATAATCTAATATATATAATATAGTATATATATAATATAATATATATATAATATAATATATATATAAATAATATAATATATACATATATATTATATACACATTATATATATAATAATATATATATATATATATAATACAATATATATATATAATATATTATTATTATATATATGATGTGTATATAATAAATATATATGATATATACACATTATATATATAATAATATATAATACATATAATATATATATATAATATTTAATATATATATATATATAAATATAATATAATATATATAATATATATAATATATATAATATATATAATACATATAATATATATATATAATATTTAATATATATAATATAATATATATAATATTTATAATATATATAATATATATACTATATATAATATATATAATATTTATAATATATATAATATATATACTATATATAATATATATAATATTTATTATATATAATATATATATATAATATATATGTATATTATATAATATATATATTATAATATATATATATTATTTATCAAAAATATAATACATAATATATATATAATATATATATATAATATATATATATGATAATATATATGTAGTAATATATATATACATAATATAATATATATAATATATATAATATATATAATATATATAATATATAATATATATAATATATATAATATGTAATATATATAATATATATAATATATATAATATATATAATATATATAATATATATATAATATATATAATATATATAATATATATAATATATATAATATATATAATATATATAATATATATAATATAAATAATATATATATAATATATATATAATATATATAATATATATAAAATATATTATAATATATATAATATAATATATACAATAGATATACAATACATATAATGTATATATATATATTATTATGTATATATATATAATATAATATATATAATATTATATATGTAATATAATATATATAATAATATATATATATATATTTAATATACTTTATATAATGTATAAACAATACATATAATGTATATATAGTATATATTATATATAATATATAATATATAATATATATAATATGAATATATATAATATAATAATATATATATATATGATAATATATATATATAATATAATATATATATAATATAATATATATATATAATATAATATATATAATATAATATATATAATATAATATATATAATATAATATATATATATGTAATATATAATATATAATATATATGTAATATATAATATATAATATATATGTAATATATAATATATAATATATATAATATAATATTTATATATTATATATATATAATATATATAATATATATATATAATGTATATTATATACACATAATTATATATCCATATATATTACATATCCATATATTATATATCCATAATTATATATCCATATATATATATTACATATCCATATATTATATATCCATATATTATATATCCATATTATCCATATATTATATTTCCTGGTGTAACTTGAATACAGAGACCCTGTTACACTCCCGGTGACCGGCGAGCTCAGGCGGGGCTGAGGGTGTATGCCTTGGACTTGTTGGGCAATGGCTACACCGACAAGTTGGATCCCGTCTCCCAGGACACCATGGCACGACACAAAAAATGGCTGAACTTTTCAGAGTTTTCTCTCTTTTGTTGGCGGCACCACGACCGCAATCTGTTTGACCAGCAATTTGAAGTTAGTGAATTACTAGAATTTATCCAGACGATCCAGACATATTGATCCCATATCAATTTCATATTCCCAAAAATCAATCCCATGTAGATCACATGTAGACATCCGATCCAAAAGATTCAGGGGTCCAAGGAGGCGGCCAGCATCAATGGCGAAAGAAATCGAGATCTTCGAGACGTAGAGACCAACTTGGTCCTGGGACAAGGTGCGGCAGGATTCCGTCAGGATTCGCGATGAATTTTCGATGGATCTTTGGATGAAAAAAACGGGTGGGACAGTCCCAGTTTTGCGGGACATTTCCTTTCTAGGAAATTCATCTAAAAGGGAAATAAATGGGAGATTTTGCAGGGCAGGTTAGATTGCTGTCAGGGTGTGCCATATTTATGTGCCTCTAAGAATGCCATGTTATCTATTTATTATGCGATGGGGTGCATTCACACCAAGGGCACACAGATTCGAGACCTTTCGGTTCAGGCTGGTCTTGAATCAACTATGAAAAACTTGGGACCTTCCGACTTCAACACTGGTACTTTTTCAAGTTTCCATTGTAAGTATGAGTGGACTGCTCTGTTGCCCCAGAATAATTTTCAGCATCATCTTAATACATCCATCATCTTAATACATCCATCATATCTACATCCATCTTCATAATACATCCATCATAATGTTATCTACATCATCAGCTGTTTTACGTGTGGCGAATGGCTGGTCCTCGCATGCCCGAATGACACATCTTTGCTCCAGGTGTGCGAAAGAAGGTCTTTGCGGCTCGGTATGAAGGGAAGGTTGGCAAGATTGAGCCGAGCCGCGATCTGCCATAGGATGATTCAAATTGACTTTCCTCTGCGTTGAAATCACCGTCGATTTTTCAGGATTTCAAAGGTGTTTGCACCATTTTTTGGACCATTTTTGGAACGATGCCATGACTTCTTTGTGCAACGGCTTGTGAAATCGTGAGGTTCCTCAAGGACATCCTTTGGGATCGGTGCCCGGCGCTAAGCGAGATGAGTTTCGACGGTCCTATCAAAGTAGAACTTTTGGAAGGTGACATGCTGACATCGAGAATTATTATGGCCGTGGATGAAACGACGCATCCAGCTGCATCGCCAGAGCTTTGCGACTGGAAACATCCCAATCCAATTTCCAATTTTTGGCATCATTGCGACTGAAACAAGATTCCGGGATATTCCGGGTCTCAGGTACAACATCTTTACATGGAGTGAGCAAGTCTCTGACTTCATCGAGGAAATGATTCAGTCGGAAGTGATTCTGAGTCTTGGCAGGTGGGAAAGGTTTAGTTGCGACATGTTGGATATGGGTATGGGTCAATACCTATAAATACCATTTTTAGTGGGATGAACATCCATTTACCAGCTATTTTGGGGTTCACTAGGTACCAGGGTTTTGACCCATCCCCATATTGGCCATCGATCATTTCGGGCTTGTTGGTTCAAATCCAACACATGGGAGGATGATGCCAAAAAATGACCAGTTTTTGGAGAGTGGCGCGTTTTTTCCACCTAGCGGTAGTTCATTCTTGTCCGTTAAAATTATGCCCATGATACAGTTATCCCTCTAATGAGCCAAAGTCTGCAGTTGACACCACCGGTTGATGGCAGATATGGCAGACTAAACTAATGATGTTTTTCTCCTTTCGGACACACTACATCACCACCATGCTTCATTTTCACTTGGTTCAACCTGCCTCCATGATGCCCCTGGTGGTGGGGCTTTCTCTGCTGAGCCAGCATGGTTGTCACATTTTGGTTGCCATGCGGTCATAGTTCCAGGCTAAACAGGATAACTTGGAGCCACATTGCCATCCACTAAGCCTCGCATACCACAATCCCCATCACGGGAATCCATATACGGACTATACGGACTAGTACTTGTGCAGATGACACCAAGCACCAGTTCATTGTGCTGTTGAGGATTGGAAATTCTCTCGGTTCGCTCGTTAGCCGCTTGGCGTGACATGAGATTTTCCACCGGTTTTTGCCTGCCACAAGCATCGGAATAGGATGATAGGATGAGTTATGCTTCTGAACCTGGGTTTATCCAAAAATGAGCTCTGCTTTTCTATGCCCCAAAATCGCACTGGAGGCCTGCAAGCTGCCATCGACCGGCCTGAGCAAATTCAGGGATTGCTGTTGGTCAACCCGCGATTCCGCCAAGAACATGTGGCTGAGGCACCTTGGCAAAAACAGGGGTAACAGGTATATAACATGTTCCAATCTGAATCTATGGAGTGACTGGATGTTATTTTGTGAATATCCTTGTGGGGTAGCTGGAATCCACCAACTGCGAGCTGAAAAGGATTGGGCACTGGTCGGTTTCACGTGAAACTCTTGGAGCATCTTCGAACGGTGGGCGGGTAGCTGTTCTGATATCTTTCTCATTACCAGTTTCACAGTCAATTTTGAACTCTGTAGTAACCACCAAAGATAGAACAAAGTCAATTATCACCCTTTTTCGTAGGATTTGATTCTGCTTTCACATCTCTTTTGGGATTACTCTAATGATGAGCATCCTGCACAGAGGCTCCAGCCTTGGCAAGGCCGGGGCAGTTGCTGGAAGGTCCAGTTCACATACTGTGTATACGTTTAGTTTACATCGAGTACATCGCGCGTCACAGTATGATATGATGTGATATGACACGAACGTGTTTTAGGAACACTAATATCACAATTATTCATTTAATGTATATATATATATGGGTATGGATCAATACCTATAAAAATACCATTTTTAGGGGGATATTCACATCCATTTTAACCCAGCTATTTTGATGTGAACAAAAAAGGGGTACTATTGGTTTTGACACACTGCAATGGCTCGGATGCCAGGCCGGTGATTTCTGGCGTGCAGAGCATCCTGCGGGACACTTTCGTGGCTTGGATGAAATGGATGAAATGGATGAAATGGATGAAGTGGATGAAATGGATGAAGTGGATGAAATGGATGAAATGGATGAAATGGATGAAATGGATGAAATGGATGAAATGGATGAAGTGGATGAAATGGATGAAGTGGATGAAATGGATGAAGTGGATGAAATGGATGAAATGGATGAAATGGATGAAGTGGATGAAATGGATGAAGTGGATGAAATGGATGAAGTGGATGAAATGGATGAAATGGATGAAGTGGATGAAATGGATGAAATGGATGAAGAAATGGATGAAATGGATGAAGTGGATGAAATGGATGAAATGGATGAAATGGATGAAGTGGATGAAATGGATGAAATGGATGAAGTGGATGAAATGGATGAAGTGGATGAAATGGATGAAATGGATGAAATGGATGAAATGGATGAAATGGATGAAGTGGATGAAATGGATGAAATGGATGAAGTGGATGAAATGGATGAAATGGATGAAGTGGATGAAATGGATGAAATGGATGAAGTGGATGAAATGGATGAAATGGGATGAAATGGATGAAATGGATG